TAATTTGTGAAATTTTCACTAGACGTTCCAAATTCATTGACTTATGTTTAACTTTTGTGTGTGTATTGTTTGAATTTTAGGTTGAGTTATACATAAGATGCCCATATATACGTCTATCTTGTAGTTGAATTTCTGGCTTTCTTATTCTCATGTTGTAATTTTTTTTTTTTGGTAACTAGATGGATTATTGGAAGGCCCATCGAACTCTTCTACGTGCAAGAGTTTTGGTTAGAGGTTCTCAGAAAGTGGATACTCAGAGTTACCGACATATCTCCACCAGATAAGACAAGCAAATCCCGGAACTTTCACGCGTTTGGAAGTCGATGAGTTCCAGAGATTTAAGTATTTATTCCTTGCATTTGGTGCTAGTATAAATGGGTTTCCATTCTTGAGAAAGGTAGTTGTTGTTGATGGTACCTTTCTAAAGGGAAAATATAAAGGAACACTACTGATCGCATCAGCTCAAGATGGGAATTTCCAAATATTTCCAATTGCTTTTGCAGTCGTAGATACAGAAAATGATGATTCTTGGGAATGGTTCTTCCAGCAGCTTAGTAATGTGATTCAGGATGATGAAGGACTTGCACTTATTTCTGATAGGCACCAGTCTATTGGTAACGCTATTAAAAAAGTTTATCCCAAGGCTAGTCGTGGAGTTTGTACCTACCATCTGTACAAGAATATCTTGCAACGTTTTCGTGGTCGTGATGCATTTCGCTTGGTTAAGAAAGCAGCAAATGCTTTTAAAATATCAGATTTCGATGCAACATTTGATGAAATAGGAGTGTTGAATCCAGCACTACATAGGTACCTCGTAAAAGCTGATGTTAGAAAGTGGGCTCGTGTGCATTTCCCTGGAGACCGGTACAACTTAACTACAACAAACATAGCAGAGTCTATAAATAAAGCGCTTTCAGATGCGAGGAGTTTGCCAATAGTACGAGTATTAGATGCAGTGCGATCAATGATGACGAGATGGTTTGCAGATCGGAGGATGGATGCAGGATCAATGAAGACAACCCTGACTCGTGGCGTAGAGAAACTGTTGGAGGTACAAGCCAAAATATTTTTCTATATTAACTGCTTGATTTTAATCTGAATACGCTAACATTTGTAGTTGTTTTTCTTTGTTTTACTCCAGAAACGTGTACAACAAGCTAAGCTCTATAAGGTGCAAGCAATAGATGTACACCATGCACAAGTGACATGTGGTATGTCTTTGAATGTAGTAAATCTGAAAGAGAAAAAATGTTCGTGTCGTCGTTTTGATGTGGAGAAGTTACCATGTGTGCACGCCATTGCCGCAGCTGAAGCACGTAGAATTTCTCCCATATCAAAATGCGATCCATACTATCACAAGAACTACTTTTACAATGCATACTCCACTTCTGTAATGCCAAGGGATGCTGCTTCACCTGTTTCCGAAGATGTCGCCTCTAAAGTGTGTTCACCTCCCATAGTACGCAATCCGCCAGGTAGACCTAAGAATTCAAGAATGAAATCAGCATTGGAGAAAGCCACAGCTAAAAAGCGGCCTCGTAAAGAATACACATGTTCTCGATGTCATAGAGTTGGTCATAATTGTAAGACATGTAAGGCTCCTATTGAAGTTTAGGGTTGCTTTATTCGAAGTGATGAGTTTAAATTTGTTTCTTTGGCTTTTACTCATACGTTAGTTTATATTTCGTACTTTTCTTTCGAGTCTTATTTTATTGCATTGTTTTCTTTTCTTTACTTTTAGTGATAGTGCTATGTCATGTTTGGTTTAGATCATAGTATCATTACACAAAATGCGAAAGTTACAAAAAAATACGTGGACTTGGAATAGAAACTCTACTTGGGAATATGAATCATACTAGGAATAGGAACTCTACTTAAAATAGGAACTTTAATTGCAATATGAATCCTACTTGGAATAGGAACTCTATTTGATGAATCATACTTGGAACTTACGTTGGAATCAAGAATTCAAGTTAATTTTTCTAAATGAGTACATAAGGGCTATGAAATACTCTTTCGATTAAAAAACAAAAGACCATCGTGAAATCTATTTTAAAATAACAAAAATAACTGATCCAATGAAAACCAAAAGCAAAGAAAACAAAAGTCATAAAGAAATCAACATAAACCTCTATGGAGAGTCAATCAATCGTAGTTCTTGGCCAAAGTCTTCATCACGGACTAAATGGGTGGACCTGCAGGCGATACGCGGTTGTCCCACCTCGTCATAAATCTCAGCTGCTAATCTCAGTCGTAATGCTGGAATATTAGTATCATTTAAACCATCGAATGTGCAACCAATAGCCAGACATTCAATGTACTTCAAAGTATACACTCCACAGTCGCCCGGGTTTTTGTTTTGTGGAGGACTCCTCAATCTTATCACCGTGAACTGCTTGTCGCTCTTCTTCCGCATATTTCTTGGTAGCATTGCATTGAGCAATGCAGGGATCATCTTTGTGAATGGCCTACAAATCTCCTTTATATCTTTATCATCAGGCACCACTGTCAGAATACTATCATACACATGAATCTTCTCTTTCACCAAGTCAATATCCAAAGCAACCCAATGGTTTCCATTTATATGATGACATGCATACACGTGATCGACATCTTCAAGCCATTTCTTGTTTGTAACTGAGTCAGCTGGATACGTACCATTAAACACTCTCTTATATTTTTCAGGCACGGTCCAAGTCTTTGGGTTGAATGTCCCGAGATTGAAATCACGCACCATTTCGTTGACAAACCATTGGTCGATGAATGCAATCCTTGGTGAATGGAATGGAGATGGATCCCTCAAAGACCTCTTGTAGAACATATGCATCGCCGAGCACATATGCTGTGAAAGAGAAACACAAATTCACAAATGTGGTATAATTTTTTTGACCAATGAATCGTCATTTTAAAGTCAGCAAAACTCACCGAACTACCCAACCAGCCGTAGTCTTGTGTACACCATTTATCCCTCGGAGTAATTAGCTTTATGTAAAATTCGACATTTGAATCCCATGTCGCAATTGGTTCCATACTAAGAAAATGTAGAATAATGTTAAGATGTTAGTAATCTTGGTTAATATATATCAACATGTATTAAAAAATATTTCTGAAAGTACTTACTCATCTTGCCGTATAAAATCCAACAAATCATGTGCTTTAGTCTCATCCACTTCAGTCATTGGATCGTACGCTGCGATGGATAGAGATACACCGGTAATGATCCGCTTCACAGTAGAATTTCCCACAAACGGATAGAGTTGACTCGAAGATAATTTGGGTTGGCGCTTTGGCAGTGAGGTATCATCTTTGACGCCACAAATTCCAGCTACCATAAGATTTAATCCAGCACGAAATCGTCTATGTACCGGGTTTGAAAACGTCTCTGAAGAAGTAGGTTCTTGTTTTATTTTCTTCTTCTGGTTCGTGACAGTAGTTTGAACTTGTTTTCCTTTCAATTTGGCTTGCAGTTCCTCCACTGTTTGCTCCTTGGTGAGCTTCTCAATTTTCTTGCATGGTTTGTTTGCATTTTTAACGACAACGTGGATAGGCAAATCATCATGTGATGTAGACTTAGCATGCACCATCCATGGCTGCACAAATAATCATGAAAAATGCATGTATAAATAATAACCAACATTTTGTAACAAGAAGAGATAACTAACGTACCATAGAATTACTAGTGACATCATCATCTATGTTAACATTGGAGCTGCCGGCTTCTTTGGTGTCACACTCTCCTAAACGTTCTCTTAGAAATTTCACCTCCTTCTCAAGTGTGGCAATCTTCTCATCCATGGGATTGAATCTCAGTTCAACCTTCGCATCAACTTTGGCATCAATTGCTCCATCTAAACCAGTCAACACCTTGTTAGCAATATTGGTTTCCATGTTGTCTACTTTTGATGTAAACAACTTCATCATATCCACGAGACTGGTTTGATCATCTGATGTCTGCAATATTAAATAAAAGTGTAAAACACAAGTAAACCAGCTTATATTAAAGAGTACACTTTCTTTCAAAATAATAGTATCTTTTTTACTAACCGCTGTAACTCCTTCAAGTTTTTTCTCTTTCTTTTTCGTTTTTGTAGGTTTCTCATGTTCCTTGGAGTCAACGTCACTATGTTCGACAGCTTCTTTACGTTTTTTTTTCTGGCTAATATTAGCTTTGATGACATCCCAAGCTGATTCATCTAACCGATTGTGATGTATATCATCAAGCAAGGTCTTCACGTCTTCATCCTCCTCCTCATCAACCCATTTCGCACTGGTTTCTCCGTCAAACAGTGTAATAAAGTTCCTAACACGAATCTGGAAATATGTTTTCCATTAGACCTTTGTATAAAAAGATATATAGTTTTAAGATAATCATCACTCACAACAAACAATGAATACCTTATTTGCATGACTTTTCTTCTCTTTCCGGAAGAAGTCTGACCACTCAATCCTTGGACGGGAACCGCCCCAAGAAAGAAGAGGAACCTCGTCACCAGCCCTTTTATTCCCATGCAACTCTCCTATACCAGCAATTGCCTCATATGCCCATATGAGCAGAACGTGAACACATCCGCTAAGTGTGTATGTTTTCTTCACACCGTAACTTAGCATCTTAATTGAATCCATCAAACTCTTACATGCAACTCGACCCCACGGATAACTCTCAAAAGCTTCTCGATTTAGAACTCTTTTCGCTTGATGTAAAGGGATATGACTGGACGGAGAGAGGCCGTAGATGCCAATGGACAAGAGACACAACAATCCTACCATTCTCCTCTTCTCAAAAGTCCAATCTGCACTTTTAGAAAAGACCAATTCCAACTGATCCAAGGACGGTCCTTCCAATGTAGAGACATTTAGTTCTCCCCAAAACTCTTCATGATCTAAATCCCATTTGTTCTCATCCTTAAATGGCTCACAATTTAGGCCCGTAATATCACCGAATTCCAGCAAAGAAAGACGAATTGGCTGGGTGTCAATCAAGGACCATATCTCATAGCTCTTCTTCGTTTGCAACTGATGTGTAAGCAAGTAATGCACAATCTTGGCAGAGAATGTATACTCAACATCTTTAAGCTTAGCAATCACTCCAATGGAAGACTCCTTCAAAGACTCCCACACATCCTTTCCAACTCCTGTTTCTACCATTTTTATGTTAGACACATAACAATTATAATTCATGCTTTTCGTTTGCGATGGTGCCTTTCCCTCTGCGTACATTCGTCGAGGGTATTTCTTCTCACCACTTGACGAAGCCATAGCTAACAACACAAAACAACCAACACGTACATTCAACACATAAAGTCAACCAAAGTGATTAAAAAAATATTATTAAACAAAGCATAATCTACTATTTCAAGAATAACAGTTATCAATCTACCAAATTAAAACATAACTTTGTTAAAAAAGGCCAAACAGGAAACATTCGAGAAATTCAATCAACTCTGTTTCTCAGTTATACTCAATCGGTTATCTCTTTCGCGCATAACAATTCAGAGTCTCAAGCAAAGCCTGAAATTAAAATCACACCCGAAAACAAATTGAATACGGCAATGAGAAGAGAAAAAAAAACTGAACTGACCTAACGGACGTCGGATTAGTCGAAGCTGATACCGGAGTTAGCGACAACGCTGCCGGATTCGTAATCGGAATCGTGTTGACTTAATGGCGGCGGAGAGACAAGTGACAGATTCTCTCGTGAAATGGTAGACATTCTTTTTTATTTTACCTAAAATGCATCTTGTAACGGTTTAATTTTGAAATTTCATTTTTTTTTAATTACACCAAAAATTGATTACAATGGCATGGGTGTAATTATCAATTACTACATTGGTTATTTGGACTTTTGACACAAATTGTATGCTATTCTAGTAAGTGTTTTTTTATGGGTGCTAATCTAGTAATAAACTGTTGAATTAGTGTTAGATTAAGTAATTTTCACTTATTTCTTATATTGTTTTTTTAAATATAATTTATTTTCTCTTTCGACAAGTGGAATCCATTTTTCCGTTCGATTTTTTGAACTCTTTATATTCCTCGAAATCTTTTGTACGTACCAATATTCATTTTGTATACTGTTTTGTACTTTTGTATACATTTATTTATGAATGTTTTGTTTGTCTATGCGGACTCCATGATTACTAGAAAAAGAGTTACTTTAGTAAATGGCAAAGATGATAACTTATTTTGTGGTATATTTAAGTATTGCCCAAAATTTATCTTAAGTAAATGATAATATCTTCAATTGCTGTCACCAAACGTACAAATGTATCTGTAACAATTTGGGTACGCAATTTTCATCCCATTATACAACTGGATCATATAGTTCCAACTCATGAGAACAGACACCAATGAACAGTAAATCAACACAAATATCGACCCCAACGTTATAGATAATTCATTATACGTTTGATCATACGGTCCACAACTGGAACTCAGAAGGAAACATTCCGCTACACTGTTTGGTCACAGGGGTCCAAAACCGTTACCATAACCACTGCAAAAATCAAAATATAAACAAATCTATACACCATGGGAGACTTCACGGGCACTCTAGTCGATCTCTACATCCCTGGATCCTAAAATCCTACTAGAAAACTACTGTTGAGTTTACAAAAT